TAGCTCAATTCAGCTATGAGCTTTTTCTACAGGACCAGGTCTGTGCTCCACAGGAATCAGTAAGTACAGCCTCTCAGGATTATGCAGAATAATTCAACTTGTGTGACTGGAAGTGCATTAGTAGACTGTAGTACTGTGTGTCATCATGAAGGTGAGGTCAATGTTCATACATTTCCATGGAGTTTCAGCAGTGATTTTAAAAATGCATGAAAGTATCTGATTTCTCCCAACCAGCTTGTCATCATCATCAGTAACACAGCAAATGCAATTGTAATTCAGAAGATAGTGGTAGGGGAGAAGGGATGTGCTGGTCTTTCATCTGTGTGTTATTAACATCAGTGTGGTGATATTAGTAAGATAAACAGCCATGATTCAGCATGGGCACTGAAAGTTAGGATGAAGGTTTCCTATTTCTGTAATCATTACCAAATAACTTGTGATATCAAGAGAGGGAACACAGTAGGATACCATGAAAAACTAGAGACTGTGCTTTTAAGTACTACTACCTTTGCATCTTTAATTTGAGTTCATCAAAAATCAAAAAAATCCTGATGCTAAGCTCATCTCCAGAGACTTCAGCTGAGTTGAATTCTGAATTGCACCGAATGACAGTGCTGAGGTGGGAAATGCTAATGGTATTGTCCCCCCAGCAAGATCCCCAAGCTCATTAAATGCACCTGAGACACAATGTACATTATACAGCCATTTAGAAACATTGTCATTACAGAAAACCATAGTGGTCTTTAAGTGAGAGAGAGTTCTCTGTCCTTACGAGAATTCAGCAAATGAAAGGCATTGGGGGCATAAGGGAGAAAACAAAGATCTTTTTTCTAATGAGGGAATATCAAAAGAGGGAATAAAAAACCAGGAATTTTAGGTTTCTTACTCAAGGTCATGCAGAAAGAGCTCAGGAATGAGTTCAGATTGCCTGAATTTTAGCCAGTAGCCTAAACTGTAGGAACAAATGAGCTTTCCCCTCGCATTAGTCTAATCCAAACTTCATATAGCAGGAGCAAGTAGTCAAAAGCAAGCCAAAACCTACTCCCAGTGGAGTGACTTTGTCAAGTGAGAAATGAGGCAGACCTGGAATGTCAAAGAATTTTAGTTGTCATTTTATCAGGATAAAAAATAAATTAGAGGAGGCAGTTTCTCTGTGAATTATCTGTAATGAAAGAGCCAAATCCCTGAACCTTTCTACTCTGAATGTCTTTACTGTCCATCTCCTCAGCAAAGATGTATGAGCAATCAGATGAAACAAGTTTGAAAGCCATTGTGCTGAATACTGTTGTTCTGGAAGCTGCAGCTTTCAGTGCCTCTGCTGAAAGCACAAGTATCTGATGTTCTAACAAATAACTCAAACACAAAAATAACAATTGGGCTTGTGACAGGCAAGAGACCTACATGACCATGTGACAAGGAAAACACACAGAAACAACATACAATAAAATTCCTCTATTTTCTACAACAGAGCAGCAAAATATGTCAAGGACATTGGGTTGAAGAACTTCAGTAGGAAAAATAGCTTTGTAATTTTTGGTTTGGGGGTTCTTTTGTTGCTGTGCAGAAATAAAGGATTCATGTTGTTTAGGCTGAGAACAACTCTATTGTTGAACGCTGCAGTGTGAGAGGTACCAGCCTTCAGTCTGGGCATACAGCCCAGGCCAGGGCAAAAGATTAACATTTAAATTGGCAGGATTTTGAGGCGACAGGAAAATTTGCTTTTAAGCATAAGTAGTTTTCTCCTGTGTTGCCATTTAGTGATAAAGATGCTGTTGCTATTCTGCTTAGCACAGTAGAAATTTAAGAACAAAATTACCAGCTTAAGTATGGTGCTCTCCTTATTAAACACTTTTGCAATGCTTTGTAAAATGGGACATATGCTAATTATAAAAGGAAGTATTGATACTTCTTGCCTGTTGTCACACAATATTATGATGACTGGACCCAGATTAATAGGAGAACTAACCTGGTGAAACCTTTCCAGTAATGAGACCAAAGATATTAAGTGTGAAGTGACATTGCAAACAGTTTTAAAAATCCTAAAAGGTGACAAAAAAGTTAGGCCACTTTGGAAAACATACTTACATTCAGATCATTTAAATATGAGCTGTTGGTTGGTTTTCCTTTTAATGATATTTATATGCTACCAAATATAAATGCTTTACAGGAAAATTTTATGTGAGTCAGGGTTAGAGAAAGTGGGCCAGAATCCCAGATCTCTGGAATCAGCAATGCTCTACGCAATGATGGTTTTGGTGCCTCCACTTGCACAGACTTAGTCATTATTTTCCTTTTTTGTCTTCCTCAATAGCAGAACACTTCTGAATGACTTGCCTTTGTTTCTCTTCAGACATCTTTTACTGATATTGTATTATTGTCAGAATGACACAGTCTCAACCTTCAGCATCACTGCAGGCACAAGCAAGATCTACAAGAAAACCCTGTGCTGTGTGGTTCCTGCTCCAGATTCCCACACCTGAGTGAACACATCAGGTCTTTCCTGCTGCCATTTGCCTCCCCCTACCCTCTTAGTAATCCATTCCACTACAGAGATGCAGTGACTTTTCAGGACCTCCAGTGAGCCTGCCTCTGCAGTTCACTATTCTTTTCAAAGCCAGATGGGTCCTTAGATGGATCAGAAAGACCTAGAAAAATAATAGGAGTGCAAATAACAAAGGAACTTTTGTACCTTGGCTCAAAAGGTATCTGGGAGACTGCAGCTCTGCAGATCTGAAGGCTTCAGTCTCAGAGGGATACAGGAGATGTTAAGATGCAAAGGAACTATAACACAAGCAAAGGCCACTGGATTTTTACATCCTAAAAGATATTAACTATGACACAAGCTAAAGGAAGAGTCCTCGCCAGAGTGTAGCACTTAAAAATATTGACTTCCACTCCAGAGGACAAGGGTTGAATAGGACATACTTTCTTCACCTGCCATTGGGAAAAACTGTGCATGCGTACACAGACATATCCAGCCTTTTCTAACTTGGCTCATGTCTTCTTTTCAGCAAAAATGGAGTGTCACAGATTTTGTGGATGCTGAACATCCTGGATTGTGCTATGCAGTATACTTGTACAGGGCAGAACTAACTGGAAAATGGCAAGTTCTTTTTTTGTGATACCTCTTCTGTGTTTGCAAGGGAAATAAATTTCCCTTTGAGAAGAGGGGTAGGACTAAATCTCCAGAGATCCTTCCCAATCTCAATTATTCTGTGATGCTGTGAAATCAATATCTATTGTATAAAAGGGTGGTTGTTCTTTTGCTGGGTTGTTTAATATTTCTAGTGAGTAGCTGAGTAGCATAATTTTGCTACTCAAACTGTTAATATGGTAAAAACATGTACATACAATTATACTGTTATAAACGCAGTTTATTCTCCTATAGCTTGCAAATAGCCAGGCAAATTTTCATCCTTGTTGAATATTTCTTTTGCTGCAACATCAGCCCAAAATCATTGTCAGATTGGGTCAAATTTACCTAAAAGTTTTGTTGATTGCTCTTTATATTGACAAATCTAGGAGCAGGTCAAAATTCATCTAGCAGGGAGAGTAATCAGAAAGGCTGGAGGTTGATCAATACTGTTTCAGCTCTCATAGCAATTCCTAATCTCTTCCTAATCAGATATAGTAAAAGAAGGTCCCCCTTTAGATCTCTTCAGAAGCTAACTCACTCATCAAAAACATACTTTAAGTGCTTGATACACAGCATGAGAAAGACATCATCTCCTAATGGAGAAGGTGCTGCTTCCAGACTCTGGTGACTACTGAATCAGGGCTATCAAAAAACATCTGAATCAGCAGATAAGACAGAACAATTCACAGTAGATTCCTGCATGACAGAGTGGTCAAGGTATTCTTACAGGCTGTGTGAGCTGAAACATTCACAGAAGGAAGAGCAGGACATTTGTCCTGAGTTTCTCATACGTTGGTGATGGTCTCTCCGTCTACTACTGGCATTATTCTTTGATAGTTTTGTGTCTGACTTCTCATATTACCAATCTCTTTCTCTCAATCTGCTTTAAAACTTTGCTGAGAATAAAAAGGCAATGCAATGAAAACTTCATTGACTTTTTAATTTATTTTTTTTAAAGCCTAAAGACTTTGAATCTTGATTTGGACTTTTTATTCTTAATCTTTAAACACAGAAATCAGTAATTTATCCAGATTAAATTATATGTTTATACCGTTGTGACTGCACCTACAGCAGTAATGTTGTATTATTGTCACCACTGAAATAAAGTCATCATATTTTAGAGAAAATGAACATCCAGATCAAACAACTGCTTCAGGTTAGATATGATTTATTATATGTTATTGCCTTTACAAATAAGGACACCTGTTTGCTGCGGAAAGCATCAATAATAGAGATGCCAAAACCTCAACACACCCCTACAAAACTCAGCTCTAGAGGTCATCCTCATTTCTCTTTCCTTACTACAGATGGCATTTACAATGGAGAGGGTCAGAAGTAATTTCCATGAATGCTCTAAGCTGCAAAGGGATGTTGTGTAAAAGCATAGTTGTTTTAGGATTTATTAGCCAGCTACACAGGAAAAAGTGTAGAAGTTTAAAGAAATTAAATTGATTATGGAAAAAGAGAAAACAGTTACTTTGTGAATGTTATTATCTGGGCACCTACAATTAAACGTGGATGAAGAAGTGCTGAGAAAAAAAAACAGTCAAAAAGTTTTTAAACATCTTCGAAGGATTCAGAAATGGAACAGAGGAGAACAATGACACACCAAGTTACAGATGTAACAAAAACAGAGGCTCTGATCAGTCTGGGTCAGCTTCACGTTTGCAACTGGTTTCAAACTTAATGCTGCTGCTGACATCTTGAGGTTTTATCCACAAACACCTAAACAATATGTACTACCTTGTGTGATGAAGACAGTTCTCCACATCAGATTACAACATTAGCCATGTCTGGCTGAAAGTCAGTGTCAAGTAAAAATGGAAATTCAATTTCAAACACAGCAAAAAGTCAAAAGCACAGTTTAAGGATGGGGATCGGGATTCAAACCTGTGCTCTCCAGTTTTACTGTAAAATTCCAGAACCAAACCAGTTCCCAGTTTTTTTCAAGGTCTCCCTTGATATCACCGTATGCACTGCAATACTGTTACAGTCATCTCATCTCCATACATCACTCCTATTACATTTTAGGGCAAACTTTACCCAGCTACACCATGGAGCTGACTGACTTTATCCCACACTCTTGGTTCACCTCTTCACCACTCTGCAAACTTTGTCTAGCATGAATCAGACTCAAATACACCCACGGGATGCAATATAAAAATAGAGCCTACCTCCTCCAGCTGTACCAGGAAAGTGACGTTGTGCCCTTGCTCGGCTGTCAGTTTGCCATCAGATGTAACTATGCGAAGGCCCTGGGGGGCTTTGCCAGGGCACTGCTGTGGTTTTGCTGTGTACCGTTCTCTCACACCATCCGTGCAGTTATTAGAAACAACTTTCCGGTATCTGAAAAGGAAGAGAGAAATCTGTGGAAGATGCTGACAGAGCACAGCAGGGTTAACTGGGAACAGGGAGGCAGTTTTGAGGACTAAGAGGATTGGAAGAAAACAGATTGCCAAATACATTTTAGCATTTATCTCAGCCAAGCACTCCTCATGTGCCTAACGTACAAGTAGTTAATACTGTTGCTCATGGCATGTAATATTTTCCTGCATAACACACCTATATACCGCATACTAATAAACCGTATAAAACATAAAATTATATTCTTCTCTATATTATATGTTAAATAACCATAAAGTTATAAATATATGATATGCACATACAGTATGGAATTGCATTCAATTATTATACTATTAGGTGTAGTTTAACAGCTTTTCTCACATGCTCTCCAATTTAATCAGTTGTGAGGCCACTCTCTCTAAAGATGCAACCTTCAAGAGCTACAAAAGTAAGAATTGAAGAAAAAAGCAAATCCTGCCTATCTTTGACTGTAGAAAATGCCAAAACAGCTTGAGTTTCTTTGTTTCGTTCAATCATGTGCATCAGAAATGAAGTCTGAGGTCTGCCCATCTATTGCTCCAGTTCACACATTTATCAGTTTAATCTCTTTCTTCTAATTTCTTTTCCACCATTTCTGCCTCACCTGAACCCACATGATTTTAACAGGAGTCTTTTCAGAGACTTTAATGATTTTGCCTTGGTCTTACAGTTTTCTCCCCAGGTTTCTTTAAGGCATTTTTCAGAGAAAGCTCTGGACCATATATGGTGGAGATCTGGAGTCCAAACTGTTCACTCCAATAAAACCAGTGAAAAAGAGGTCCCAGGGGTTTCAGCCGGCTTTGAGATGCCTACAGTAAATGCAATCTGTAGTTTTCATAGGGATAAAGCCCATATGGGTGCTCTAGCTAAATAAAGTCTGGTGCGTCACTTACCCAGTGCTGTTGAGATAACTCTGTCCAAGGCTACAGTCTTTCGACAGGGAAGATGGGTTATACCAAAATGCTGGTAAACACTGCCCATTGCTGTGTCGTTCATATCCATAATCACTGTTTTAACATTAAAAGAAATGGTCACATAAAAACCAAACAGAACAAACACAGGTGTTAGTTCATGCTCTCTACAATTGATACAAGTTTTGGGTTTACTCAACCTATTTACTAAGATTTCTGATTGTTCCTAGAACTGATTCTTCATCCTGCTTTAGCTTTTTTGGGACTGGTAGAGTTACCTTGCGTATGTCCCAGTATAAACAAGTAGAATCAGACCAGTAGTTTATAAGCTATTGCATGAAGTGTTCTCCTTCCCCAGTCTAACCCAGTCTTGGGTTCAACTCTAGACTAAAATATAATAAAAGCTAGAGATCTAAGCTAAGTCCAAGCACTGCTGTCTCAGTCATATCTTACAAAACTGAAGTGCTAAAATGTTAATTGTATTTGGAAACTATATCACATGAGCTGTAAAGGAAAATTTACAGCCCTGAGAGCTCTGAGCTGACGGCATCGACAGAGTATTTGGTAATGGAAAAGAAGGCTGCAATCTTCAATTCTACTTTTGTTTGGAAGAGGAAATGCTACCAAAAACTGTGTTAGAAATAATTAGTCAACTGTAATCTTTTGTCCCACTTTAGGTTTAGCTATGACTAACTTAGCTTTGTTCTACCAAAAAACAGTCCAAATTGGTTTTTGATTCCAGGTAAACAAAGACTCTATGAAAACTGTTACTGTGGAACAAATAAATGAACAAAATTCCTCTTTAATCAGTATTCCATTCACATGTGGGTTTACCCTCCAGCCATTGAGTAATGAATACTGATTGGTTGAAAATAATTTTTACTCCTGATGCTAAGCTTTCTCCATAGCCCATAATGGAGAAGTTAAGGGGATGTCATTTCTGAGAACTGCTATAAAAAGTCCACCAACTCCATTGCAATATTCCAGTTGCAACATAACCCTTGATCTTAAAATTATACTTCTTTGTATAGCATTTTTTTTGCTTATTATCTTTAATGTTTTGGTATGAAGTAGCTTGATGTTCAAGGAAATAGGGCAGCATTAGATTATGTAATTATAGGGTCATCTCTGTATACGTAAAGAAGCAGAGAGGAAAACAGGAGGTGGAGGAACCCCAATAACTTGATCGGAGCCAGTAGAGCCCCTACCCCAGCTCCTCCCAAGGCTGTCACAGGACAGCCATCAGCCCATGACCAGGGTGAGACCTACCAGATCATCAATGGGAGAGGCCAGTGAGTAGGATACAAGACTTGGAAGCTAGCTGCTGCTGGGGTTGTAAGTCAGGGCTGGATACTAGGTTTGTGACTTAGTTATTGAAGAGACCAAGAGGTCTTGGGGGAATGGCTACTGGTGTAAAGCCATATACATTTGGACCTGCTCATGAGACCTCTTACATGTGTGTATGTCATGTTTTGCCATGAGGCAATTGGAAATGTCTGGTTGTCAGCAAATGAGGAGACAAAGCATTCAGGTGTTAGATATTGGACAGACTTGGGTGTCCAAGACCAGGTACTGGTGGAATCAATATTGTATGTATGCTTATAGAGCACGTATTTTCCACAGATTTCATCTTGATGAGCTAGAGAGGGGAACAGGATGAGGCAACTGGTGTTTGTGTGAGTGCTGTGGTCTTTTCCTCAGCTTTTTCACTGAATTTTTATCAATCTATTTACTCATATGCTAGTGACTGAATGTTGCTTAATTGCTTTGCAAGCATCAGCCAGCATATTCTCCTACTGCCATGTGCTTCTCCAATCATCTCTGTTGGAATAAGAACACTAGAGCTTCAGAATACACTTTATAATGAAGAATAATACCATCCTGATTTGCCTAGAGAAAACAAATATTTACATACAAGTGGGACTCCTGTATTTTTGTAATTCATTTGTCAACAATCTGCACCACTGTATTCCGAAGTTATCATTTGTCACTAATTAAAAAGCTGTAACGCTGTACATACACAATGTTCCATGATCAGTTCAGTGAAAACAAAACAAATAATACAGTGAAATCTGCTGCAGAGGGGATCAGTGACCACAGTCCAATTTGATGCAGTAGTATTGTTCTGGGATTTCTGACTACATATGCATCTAGACTTGTGCCATAATTTTAGTTCCTATTTGTACCTGCACATCTGGACAAGCCAAGTTTGACTTAGCTAAGCTTGACTATACTTGGATCATTATTCTCGAAGTCAAGGGAATTAAATAATAGGAATTTTCACAGCAGAAATAGTTCTAAGCACAGAAGTTTCACAGTGTTGTTTTCAGGCTTGCAAATCGTCTGGCTCATTAAGGCCATACAGAAATATCATCCCAGTAAATGACACCAATTGCTGTTCCATATCTTTCTGCAGATGCACTAGTCACCCCTCACCTCCCCAGTCTTGGAATCTAATGAATTCCTTGGCTACAGGCTGGTGCATGCAGAACACTGATGCTGACAACAAATTGCTGCTCACAATTTGGCACAACAGGCTTTGCAGCAATCAACAAGCATTAGCATCAATTGAATTGCCATAGTATAGCAAAATCTGGAGACAGGGAAGGCATCAACTTTAGACTGCAATCAGCTAGCCGAGTCATTGCCTGGTGACTGGGAGTTGGAATTTGCATATAGTGATGATATTTTGTGCCTGCCTGAAAAGAAGTCAGGTGAAATAGTTAATGTGCCTATAAAAAAAGAGTGGAGCAGTTACCAGCAGGGATTGTTTTGTCAGTATGAAGCAGACTATCTCATGGCTCTCACTGATGATGGTTTTACCCTGGCCATTTTTACTGGTTTAAACTGGAATCCTACTTGTCTTAATCAAGTAGGATTGCAAGTCCTTCTCTGTAATTAGAAACAGATATAAATTCATTGCAGAAGCTCTGTACCCCTGCTCAAAGTTCATGGTAAGTTCCCTTATCTAAGATTATTTGCAGCACAGGTAATAATCAAAGGAAAAGAAATCCATTAAGGAAATTTGTACTTTGAATACAGACCTGACAAACATAATGTCATGGAAGAACTGTAAATCCACATGACATTATTAAAATACCACTATTTTAAGATACAGAAATAACAAGTTAAGTCAGATGAGTGACTGCCATGCTCATACCTTCTAAAAATCAAGGCATGACTTAACAAACAACCAACAGGACTTCCTCAAAACTAACAGCTTCACTTTAACATCAGCTCTGCCAGAAACTGAAAATACTACTTGCTGGTTTGTATGCTGTGCTTTCTGAACTTTTCAGACATTGAATGGGGTGAATTGAGGTATTTGTGACTATAATCAACTTTGTTGTGCATTTTCAAGAAGCACTTGTGGGAAAAAAAAACCTCTGGCCATAGCTGTGGAAAAGTCTTACTACCTTCTTATTCTATTAATACCATTGTCTAATACTGAACTATGATGCTAGCGTATATTTGTGTTAAAGGGGAGCTGTGCTTGATTCCCAGTTCTATGGGATCTAACATGGGATTTATCACAGAGATGGCTGGATTGAGCTGCAGTTTGAATTATGGATCTATGAAGACATATGGTTATAGTTACATCAAAATATTAGGAGCCAACTTGTACCAGTTTATGTTAATAAGGAACCTAAAATCCCCAGAAACTTTCCAGTAAATCCATGCCTGGTAAATATCTAGGACCCTAAAGATGCAGAGATACACCATCAACATTGCATAGTAAATCTACGTTTTCCATAAGCATTCAGAATGAACTAAAAATTCATTCAAAATTAATATTCATTAGCTAACCAAGCCTACCTCAGGGATAAAACAAGGTTAGTTAACCTGAGGGTGCAAATGTGTGTGTATTTCAGAACTGGTGCTTGCCTGACATGATGAGTAGCAACACATGAATCCAAGAGAATCTGATCACATTCTGCCTTCTGCTTCCCCACGGTTTGTCAGGGCAGTTTCTCATGATGCAGGACTCTGGTGTTTTATCATAAAAACTAAATCTAGTAGGGAGGCCTGCCATTTAAGTGCTTCATGTATTTAATACAGTAAAAAAAGAGCTTGCCAGATCTTTACTGATATCATCAATAAAATAGATAGACCTGATTCTCAAAAGCACTAAGGCTCCTTTTTGCCACTCTGGCTATAAAAAGTCACTAGAACCAGTATCAAAAGGCTCAAACTTCCCATGAAGATGAGATATGGGAATACTGATAGAAGAAGCCCTCAATATTAATGACAGTGGGTTCAGAGGGAAGGTTGGTAGTGAAACTATCACTACGGAAAGTTTCTATCAAAGGACCTGGGAGACAGGTAGCTGAAGGATGAACATCACCAAAGACCTCCATCTGTGTCTAGGAAGTGTTTCTATTGAAGAGATATTGCTGCAATAATGCTCAAACGGCAAGAAGGAACACAATGTAAGGAAACCTGGTAAATTAATGCTTTAATAACACACAAGTAATGGCATCATCCATTTACTCAAATCAATTAAATGAAGAAGGACATTCTCGTTTCTAGGCCGTTGCTAGGACAGATTTGCCGAGGGCTCCTGCACACTTCCACTCCACCCTATTCCTGAAGCACTATTGCCCTCTGGCTGCGAGCCTCAGCCCTGCATGGAGAATAAACACCTGCCGTTCAGCCCTGTCCCCAGCTAGTTTTGGTTCTAGCCTATGATAAGAGATGTCTGCTGCCAGAAGAGTTCAGGTTCCCAAGGCTAGAGAAAGTACAGTGATTTCCAGTGTCACTCAGTTTTGATGCTATGCCCTTTTATATGAGAGAGAACTACCATGGAATACAGATTAGAAATGAACCCTGGAGTTTTATGGTATGACAAGGAGAAAAAACATTATCAAATCTTTATGTCTTTTATAACCAGCATTTTTTCGCCCTGAATTGATAAAAAAGCACTTGCAGGATTAACAGGAATAAGACTGTTGTTTCGGTTGGTGTGTTTTTCCACTTTACCTGATCACACAGATATCTTTTCTTTTTTCTCCAAGCTCTGACAAGCTTAGATAATTTTCTCCATACAAATTTAGTGTTTAAACAGCAAAGAAAGTCCTGCTCTGGTAGAGGCAGGGATTATTGTCATCTTTGATTCTGTATATAATGCTAGGTCCTGTAACAACTGATCTTAATATAAAAAGTTGCCTAGTTTATTTCAAGATTGCAAAATCAAGTGCAGTCATCTAAGGGGCTTCTCCCTGCCTGGCACATACATGTCCCCTTCAATGTCCTTCAGTTAAAAGCCCTGCCCAGAAAAAAGAAGAGAACTAGAGAACTCAAAAGCACTGCTGAAATGTCATGAGTGAGGATGAGGAAGTGTTTCTTCCTTTTGCAGGAAGGATCCCACAGAGGATGTCCTTCCACAGCAAGAATTCCTTCTCTGATTTTCCTTCAAATGCCCCTTCGGACCATATTCTGCGGGGTGCATTGGCAGTGAAGCCAAATGCAGAGTCTGACAAGGCAGGCACTGAATGCTACAGTAAAGCAGCAGCTTTGCCTTTCTTAGCACAAGAAAACTGGGGTGATAAATTCAGTAGACCCAGCAGAATTGCTTTTTTTTCTTGCCATTTCTTTTCTCCTTCCTTGATAAACCTCTGCCTGTTCCCTGTGGCTTTTCTGTCCTTCTTGGGCAAATCTATGTCAAAATATCTTCAGACTTTATTAAGTAGATAAATAAGTGATGAATATTGCTGGTAAATATGTCTGAACTGGATGCTCAAAGCAAGGTTTCAGGTTTTTTTTTTTTTTTTTTAGAGGTAGTGGGGAAGGAAGCTGAAATGGATAAAGTAAAAATCCTGATCCGAGAACTGCAGGAATAACCAAGCTCAGAGAGAATTGGAGGGGATCACAACAAAAAAACCCCAACTGATTCCATCAGGAGGAAGGCCTTCCTAGGTCAATAAGATTTTCTGTCAGTCAGATCAGCACAGAAATATGCAGTATTTTTGCAGACATTTTTCTCAGGCAAATCTTTAACAAGATTACTTTCACCACAAACTCCTAATTCTACCTCTTCCAACAGATTTGAGGGGTCTTGTTGGTGTATGTAAACTGTGAGAATCTGCCATACAGCCCCAACTATCCCAGCCTTCTGTTAGAGATTCTCTCACAACTCAGCAAACCTTTTGGAGGAAGTTTCCTTAAAATGAATGTAAAAGACATAAAAGCATGTTTCTTCCCCCAGCAAATGTCACCGTGGTACTTTTGTTCTACACCTAACAACAAAGTTTTGTAGTAACAAACCACACAATCAATTTTAATGAAATAAAAACATATATTCTCAGAGAGAGAGAAGTTCAGGAAGGAACTTCCTGTATTTTTATCAGAAGTGTTTCATGAGCGTGTGTCCCTTAAGAGCATAATGGGTCAATTCCATTAGTTATTTTACCGAGCCTGGGCATGAGCTTGGCACAGTTTTGTACTGTACGCTCTACAAAAGGGTCAAAATCTTTAGGAATGTTATTGCTACTCATGTGGGTTATTTTCTGGTTGGCTGCTATCTTTTTTACATTGCTAGAAATATCTTAAACAGTTGGAATCCAGGACCTTTGGGCATCTAAATGATGAACTACACACAGAACTGGGTTATCTTCTCCCTAACAAAAAATCATCAGGAAACCATATTCAGAGAATCATTGCCCAAGTATACTTGTTTTTTTATTCTTTGGTGCAAGAAGATTTACTTTTTTTGTAACATGGAAAAGCCTCTATAATTCTGTGATTTTATATGGAAAAATTGATACAACTACAGTTACGGGAGGGTAAGAAGACAAACACTGTAGATTTACATGGTCCTGGTGTGGATTCATATAGCAAGAAACAAAATATTTATGAGATGAACCTCTTCAGGGTGCATGTTACAGATTCTAGGTTTAACTAATAACATGGCACAGATCTCGCTGGGTGAGGCACAAGGGGTTTATCAGTACTGCCAAAGAGCCACCATTTCTCTCTTCTGAGATACTCAGGACTGTCTCAGCCTTGCAGAAAACAGGTGGTAGAATGATTTCAATAATGTGGTTCCCTGCCTTTTTTGTGCAAATTGCTGTGAGTCTGCAGGAATCTTGAAATGAAACTAGAAGCTGAACATTTTATCACTCCATTCATAGTTCACCAATGGACTCCATTTTCCACAGCATGCAGCAGGGGAGAAAATGCCTCAGAAGGAGATTAACCCAAACCATACTATCAAACATGATGGTCCAAGTATAACAATTTACCCTGGAATTACCTAATACTTGATTTCCAGAAGCTGAAGGCCTATTTTGCATATGCATATGTTTACTTTTACACATATGTACATATATGTGTGAGTATGTATGAAGAATTTCTTTTGTTTTTTACACACACTATATATGTTGTGTCTTGCATACTGCTTTCACAGCCACCCCTGGGCATTGCTGAGGTTAGATGCGGACCTTTTATCTTAATGCTGCACCGAGCTCAGATGTGACCTGGAAAATGGTGTGTTCAGAATCAATTTTGTGGTGGCCTTAGCAGATTATAAATATCTACTCCACCTTGCCTTCTTTTGACATACCTGCACCATCAGGGAGCAACCTATTTGGCCAGTTACACATTTATTAATTTCTACTCTCTGCAAGCCTACAGCCTCTCTAGTGAGCTCTGCATCGGTGTGGTGTAAGGCACACAGTTCTTGTGCCCATTGCTCACCAGTCAAAATCGGCCTCTGTGCACACGCATGGCTCCGAGGTCATAGCCCCAGCATATTTTCCTTGCATGCATTTCTTCTCTGATTTGCGCTTCCTGTAGATCCTTTTTGCTCCCATGATGCAAGCTTCTCCCTGGAAACAAAACCAAAAATATCTCTCTGACACCCACCAGGCTATTTGTATCACCCCATTTTTCCAAGCCTGTGCAATGGGAGCTGTGACTCAAGGGAAGAGGATGGGAAGTCAAATGCCATGTCAGTACATGGCACCTAATTAAAGCTACTGAAGCTTTAACTGAAACTAAAACAGCTTTTCCAATACACACTAAGAAATGATCTGAGGTTACTTACGTATCTGATTCAGCTCTGAATTTGTTCCAAAGCCAATGAGCAATTGATCCAGGCCCATTTCTCATATATAGATTAGGTTTCACAGCAACTGAAAACACGGTATGATCCTTCTGCAATCTGAGACACAGAGCAGGTCTATTTCCTTGGCCTGATCTCTGACAATAACTAGTTCAGCAGAAACTAGTTACATGTGTATATATAAATACTTTCCATGTAATGAGTTCAGTTAATCAGGCTATGATTTGCTATGTGGATGCTAAAACTTCCTTGTCTTTTCACTTCCATCTTCAGTACCCTGCTAAGTATTTCCATCTAGGGAACAATGTTGAGCCTTGCAATCTCAATGGAAAGGAAATGAAAAGGCAGGAGTCCACAGCAGCCTTCCTAAAAATAGTTCTGCAAGCTCCAAAGCCAACATCCTCAAAGATACGCTGCAAAATCCTTGGCATTTTTACTTATGCGAGCACAAGAAAGTAAAGAACAAATACAGGGGGGGTCTCACTTGTTACCTTTCATGCTGTTAAAATTGCTGTAGGAAAGAGAAACTTTTCATGGCTTTGATTTGCTCATGAAACATAAGGGCTCAAATGGCAACTGGTGTAAAATGCTGTGCCTCCTTGAATTTCAAGGAAGGTGTACTGATTTTCAAAACCTAAAGATCTAAGTCATAACTGGTATTTTTAGTGTGGAGTTGTGCCTTGTGTGAACAGCTAGTCTGAGTCAAGCTACTTTCATTTCATATTCATTATTAAATTCTTGCCCAGCAAGATATATACAGAAAGACAACCTTTGATGACATAAATGGGTGTTTTGCTTTAGAATTCAGTGGAGCCTTTGGTGTTTATATAATCACAGAATTTGGGCTATATTTTACTCTAACCTTACGTAACACAGGCTGTTGTGTCAAACTTGGTGGAGCTGGGAAGGTGCCCCAAGGCAGGTGCAGTCACTGTGCAGAGCACATTACACCTTGCTGGGCACTTAAGAAATAGTTCTGGAAGTGATGCAGCAGCTGCATCCAGAATGCAAAGGACAGGGCAACAGAAGGATGGAGGGAAGAGAAGGGAAGTAAGGATGGGGAAATTGGATGGGACATGTAGGAGTGAAGGAGTTCAGTGGCAGTGCTTCTGCTGTTGTTGCATTCCTTAACTCTGGATAAGTCTGAGCTAATTGCCTGCATTGAGAACAAACCCCAAAAACCTGCTATTCATCCTTCAGGGCTCACAGAGCGCAATCTGAGGCCCACACACATATGTAACAAAACAGACCCATTGTAAGGGACAATCCGATATGCCAAACAGGAAAAGACATTGGATCATGCTGATCTTTAACTGTACAATCATTAGCTACACTTCAGGTCAGATACCACCCTCCTTGCTTCTTACCTGGCTATGGAGTTGCCAAGGCCTGTAGTCCTCTTCTTCACATCTCCGATCAAAAATGGACTTGTAGTCTACTTTCACCAGCTGCCACTCTGAGCGGTGGCTGAAATGTCCAAACACTCTACACAACACAGCAGAAACAGCATATAGTAAAAGGTAGTACCAGATGAAGTCTGGCAGTTACAGAGCTAAAGTCGCCCACAAATTTCCAACAGAGATTAATTGCTTTAGGAGTGCCACTGATTTTCCCTTGACTGATACAGTGAAACTTAGGCTGCTAAATCTCTACAACCCTCTTAAAAACTGCATGCAGCTTTTATGCTGTGGATTATGATCCTCCCACTTATGTCAATACCCAAAATGACCATACAGAGAAGACCTGGTGTGGGGCTGGAGACAGTTATGCCTATAGGAGTCTGAGATCTCAATTATAAACATTGGGAATCCCTTCCACACAAATTAAAACCAGAACCTGAAGGGAACATTATTCATACATTTCTATTGACTCAAGTCAGTTTCCAGGCCACATATTCTATTTATTACAGCTTGGTCCATTTTTTACAGACAGAAACTGAACTTTCCTCCTGTTTTTGCAAATCTGATCTCAGGTAAAATGTCACAGTTTCTGGCAGGGTGAATCCAGATTTATTCAGCATGCAGAACTGAGCATACTACACTGAAACTAAACATAATTTTTCATGAGTTGCTCCAGGCAACATTTTGTCATTCATTTTTACAAAAAAATGTCTTCATTTTTCTGTGTCTTGGGTTCTGATTTTTTTTTTAAAGAAAGTAGCAGCAAAAACACAGTTATAAAAATACCCCACCATTTCTCTTTCAAATATTCGTCTGCCAAGAGTAGCTCTGCTTTAAACCACATTCAATATAAGGAGTCAGGTTTCATGCTGATAAGCTAAATGATAATGTTTTGCAGCTTGCGAGGAACCATGTTGTCATTCCTTCAATCATACCACAGATAAACAGTGATGATTTAGCAACAGAAGTCTGCATGTTCCTGGCTTCAGACTGTACTTGTTTTGGTCCCTAACCAAAAATTCTATTATGTTACAAGAAACCCTTATAAGATATTTATGATGCAGTTCCCGTCAACAGCAGCATGATGGCATGCTCACTTACGTCATGATGAGAGTTTCTTCTCCAGGTTCCCCTAAAACTCCATCTACAAACAGTGGGAGGGATGTGAAACTGTACTTGCTCCAAGATCTCCCTTCATCAAAACTCAACCTAGGGGAGAAAGCAGAATTAATGTTGTCTTTTCTTACTCTCCTCCTACTTTACTTGAGGAGACTGCATAATCCACTACAGCTGCTATGGAGAAGTGGAAAGCAGCTTCTACTCTTGGATGCTGCATTTTTAGTCCTTTAAAAAACTATGATTTTGGGAAGCATCATAAATTGATGCTTTTAGGGCAAAATGTAACCTAGGGGTAGTTTTTGGGTTGTTTGTTGTTTTGTTTTTTTTTTAATACACAAGTGATCTTAAGCATCTTATTTTTGGGTCTCCAAGATAAGATATTTTAGGGAGGTTAGATTTCTGGAGCACAAGATCTTTGCCTCTTCTGCCAGCAGTCTTCCCATTGGTAGGTCTAAGCAAAAGCTCAGAACCACTTGTCTCTTCCTAAGACTTGGGTCTGTGTCTTTCAGATATTGATATGGCATTACCTGTAGCAGAAGTAATTAATGACAAGCAGCACAAAACTATATTTACCTTCCACACAAATTCAAGAGTGATAACTAGAGGGGACACTTCTGTGGTTTTGGCTATATAGCTCTGAATCTATTCAACAAAATTCTGGTTCATAAGTGCTGCCTGCCACGTAGAAGACAGGTTTATCAATAATTTTGAAAATAACAAGTACTTGGGCAGCTTAATAAGATACAAAGACATAATCCAGATACATACAACATAACCAACCAAATTCAAGAAGCCAAGTTGTAGTAAACCAGGGAAGCTGTAGAAGTACATTGATAATATCTCAGATCTGGCTGAGCTGAAACTATGTAAATCGGAATTGCCAGAATTTCTTAGCTTTATCTGTGTTAATGATTGCCAGTATCTTAACTGATATTTTCTAGATTGCAGCTATAGAAAACTCTGGGTGCAGCCTAACTGCCTACTTCCTGGCACCTGGAAAGAGGGACAGCAGACATTCAGCACACATGGAGCCATTACCAGAGATGTCTGATAGGCAGAGATGTGTGTTTCATGGCAACCAGTACTCCACCTTGATCCAGGTACAGAACACTGTGCTCTTCCTCAAAGATCTGGGAAAAAAAAGCATATATTTGAAGCTATTTTTCTTAGGGTCAAGAAAATGTCATAGTTCTTTATGTACAATCATGATGGAGGACAGGTAAAGTGATAAGAAACTTAGTAGAAAAGGACATTCTGTATAGACACAATTCCTGGGTTTTGTTTTTTATTGTTTGGAGGCTTCTTTTTCCCTCTCTGCTCGACAAAGTTAAAAAAAAACAGATTTTTGAAACGATCAACAACTTCTCTTCTTTCAATGACAGATTTTTGTTTGAAGAACTTAATTTGTTTGCACATACCTGGCCCTATCTTACATAAGTGATATAGATGGAAAAATGAGGGCTGGACAAACACTGTAAAATAATTAGATTCTTGGAATATCAAATATTTAAAAAGATTTGCTTTTCCTGTGTCTTTTCTGAATTAACTTTCTGCAAACATCTGCTCTAGTTTATATAGCAGCATTTGTCTGACAAAGTCACTCTTTCTTTCCATGACTTGATACCCCATTCAGAAAATGTGAATAATAGAACTTCCTGTTCTAAGGATAAACACATTAAAGGGTAGCAATGCTTTGTTAACAAGTGTGATTCCACTAAATATTAGCAACTCGATTTAACTTCATCACCCATTTTTTTTCCACAATTAATGGAGAGATAAGTAGCTTCGAAACAAGGTGATAGCCAACTCTATCCTGGGCTGCATCAAAACAAGTGTGACCAGCAGGTCAAAGGAGGTGATCCTGCCCCTCTACTCTGCTCTCGTGAGACCTCACTTGGAGTATTGTGTCCAGTTCTGGTGTCCTCAACATAAAAACGACATGGAGCTGTTGGAGCAAGTCCAGAGGAGGCCAAAGAGGATGATAAGAGGGCTGGAGCACCTCCCTTACGAAGATAGGGTGAGAAAGTTGGGGCTGTTCAGCCTGAAGAAGAGAAGGCTGTGTGGAGACCTCATAGCAGCTTCCAGTATCTAAAGGAGGCTTATGAGAATGCTGGGGAGGGACTCGTGAGTAATTCTGTCAAAGTGAGAGAGGTTCTACTGGAGATACACCACTGCAAATGGAAGGTGAGACTGAGCTTTGTTCCAAGTGTCAAACAGGTTGCCCAAAGAAGTGGTGAATGTTCCATCCCTGGTAGTGTTCAAAGTCAGGTTCAACAGGGCTTGGAGCAACCTGGTCTAGTGGAATGTGTCCCTGCCCATGGCAGGGAGTTGGAACTGGATGATATTAAGGTCCTTTCCAAGCCAAACCATTCTATGATTCTATGAATTCTGTCTTTTCCTCCATTAGCTTAAAAGCAAGGCAATATAATCTGTTTATATGGACACTGAACTTTTAGGTGATCCACCTAAACACTTGTCCAGAGTGAGGGAAGGTAGACCTGGGCAACTGCTGATTTTTAGGAAAGTATAATAATGGACAAAGAAAAATGGTTCGATAAGTACAAGGGATGTACAACTGTAAAAGTGAACACATTCTCTCCCCTTAGTATTCACATTTTAACTCATTCTTTTAGCTATAGGGTTAAAATGAAGTCAAATTCTGAGTAGAATTAAAAAAATAATTTTCAGTAATATGAAATCTAACAACATATTCAGTCTTTTTGTTTGAGCATCTCTCTACCTCTGAGAAGGGAAGCTTACCTTTTCATAAAGATTTGCAAAAAGCTACTCTGAACCAAAAGAAATAAAAAATTAGGAACAAAAAAGAAATAGAAAAAGAAATTTAAAAAAAAATTAGTTTGAACTTATTTTGATCACAGCTTCCTACAATTCTGTTTTAAACCTGTAATTCTGTGTCATTTACCTGTCTCCAAGTGTTCCCAGCATCAGAAGAAACAAACATGCTGATGTCCTTGTCTGATAGTTCAGTGCCTATATTACCTGTAAGATGAGCATTGATTAGTGATGCTAAACTCTAAGAAACAGTAAAATTAGCCATTCAGGGGACTAAATTTATTCATTTACCTTTTGCAATTATAGCACTCCTAGGTTTGGAAAATGAAAGGGGGGAAGGGGGAGTGAAGAGAAGAAAAGGGAAAGGCTTTCAGCTTGAAGAAAAAACATATATATTTAAAAGATCCATTTGGTAGCCTGTCTTCCTTCCCAATACTGGTGGTGCGACACCCCACAAGCCACTCAACACCCTCCATACCCATCACAAGCTCAAGATTTTGCCAGTGTTTGCACATCATGCCAGGCAATCTTTAAATGTTTCATACCTGATGCTACAATAATACTGGGGGCAGTGTCTCTGCTGGCGATGTTTCCTGAGGTATAAGGATTCTCTGAGACCTTCAGGTGAAGATGAAGGGAGCAATAGGGCTATGGAGAAAGGGGAAATAAAAGTAAAAAGCAGACACAACATGAAATGCATGCTCCTATTTCTACAGGCTTAGAAATACAGCATCTTTCTGTATTACTTTCTAATTGCTGCAGTCAGCTTTAGAAAGATACGACCACTGTCCTGATTCTGTTGCAAGAGCTTTGCTATCATTTTCTGATGCAACCCATTCCCACTGGGAAACCAATTCACAAGGCTGAAACCCTATCACAAGGACAAGATCTCCAAGGTCAAACCAACAAAGGAGGCAACCTGGCTTGTGAGGGCAGGTAATGGTAATGACTACCTAGCTCTTCTGGTCCCTAGCTCTCTTGAGAAGCAAGCAAAGCTGCAGATACAGAAGTGACCCTCAGAGCAGCAGTGCTCAAGCTATGTAAGGCAACAAAATGCAACAACAACCCTATTGGTGTGATGCCGAGTGACCATTAATTAGACATAAGAAACAACTTAATTTGGACAGTGTCATACCATTTCCTGACTCTGAGTGTCTTTGACACATGACAGTTCTGCACTGCACTGCACTAAGAATAAATACCAGGACTAGAAAGCGTTAGCTTAGAAGTTGTTTGAAGCAATGCTTCATTGCCCCATCTGGATGTGACCTTTGAGATTTCAAAACAAATACATTCATGGAAACCTCACCTATTTGTTATTGATTTTATATGTCAGATACTCAGATAATAAAAGAATGGGATAGAATAAATGAGCTGAGCAAGAAGGTAAGACAGACAGGCAGATTTCCAAAGTTTCCATTACAGCTCCCTCCAGATCTGTAATGTGATGATTTCTGAAAATTTCTTACAATTTTTGCCTTCTCTTGGGTTTTACTTTCAGCATTTTTTTCTTATAAACCTCATGAAAAACCCTTTATGAAACATGCTAATGGAAGGGAGGTGGAAAAATACTGACAAAAAACCTGAAACTGACCCAGGTGAAGTGGGACATCAGATAAGAACACAAATACAGCAAAGCCTATGCTTCACCTTGCACATCTCTCTCGGATGAGCAGGACAGGCTATATGGAATGACCCACGGGCTCTAAGGAGGCAGGTCTTTCTCATATGAGCTGCCTAAAGGCTAGGTCTGCATCACCTGAAGTTTTGTAGGTTTCCTCTGTAGGAAACCTAGCCCCACAGGTCACTGGAGGAAGACCACTTATCCATTCCATGTAGGTGTCTATGAATCGGAAACAAAAATCCCCCAGTAGAGAATGGCACGGCTTTTTTTTTTTTGGCAAAGGCAAATGAGGATGGAAGTTCTCACTTATGTGAGACAGGAAAAGGGACATGGTTTGTGCAGAAGGGAATACAACCTGCCAAGTGGAATGTACTGAGCAGCCTAACTCTAACTGACAGCTTTGCGAGGGCAGCCACTAGAGCAGCCGGGGGGCGCAGGGAGGGAAGTGGGATCCAAATTGAGCTGACATGCATGCAAAAAGTGGAAAAGCATTGCAAGAGCATGAATTCTTCCCTTTTACATTTTAATACATTGTGAAAAGACTAAATTCAGAACATATTTTTAAAGCTAACATATTCCAAGTCCACTTCAGCATTTTGAAGACAGCAGCTAATGGCAGCAACTCAGCCAATTCCCCACTCTGACAGGGATTAGACCTTGTTTGACTCAAATCTTCGTGCTACCAGAAGTTTTCTTTCAAATTTGTCTCATTTCACAGACATAGTACACAGAAATGGAATAAATATCTCAAGTATTAAAAGCCAGTCACCTGTCTAAACAGAGAGATGGTATTTTTACTGGCATGACTTCTTATTGGTCGGAATGCAGTAATGTTGAAGTCTCTAGTGACAAGTGGGTATGGTGTAAAAATAAACCTCTTCACTCCAGCCAAATACCCAATGTTACTGCCCATGGCCATCTTGCATCATTACTGTGGAAGCATTTTCATCTCCATCACAGATGTATACCTTCTCCATCTATATCTTTAAAAGGTTTATCAACAGATATTTTTCCAGACTCGTTTGTGTTCCTCCTTTAGCTCCCACAGCTTAACTCATATACAGATATCTCAGCTTCGTTTTTTAGTATTTCCAACAGGGTATTGAAACCATTATCATCATCAGAATCACCAATTTTGGGTTTCCCTCTCATTGTCCAGCACCCAGCTGTGCTAGTTGATGCACAGACACCAAGGGAAAGACAAACACTGCCATAGAGCATTTAAAACCTAGGTAGAAAGGTAAAGCACGAGTGACATAGCTCATTGCTCTGCTCACAGGCATAGCTCTTACAATCATGCTGGCTTCATTACTTGCTTCCTAGTATTTTCAGGCCAGCACTGTTACGTGGCTCATCAGTCCTTAGTAAAATTTCTCATAAATACCTGCAAACCCACTTCTTTGCTGTTCTTCGAAGCCTACCTGAACTGCCTCCAATGGTGTGGCACATACAAAACAGCTATTAATGACTGTCTCTGATCAGGAGTTGGGCAAAGCATTATAACACAAGGATGATGCTAGACACCATTCACAAACCTAGGTGTAGTCACAGTATTTGCTCACCTACAATAGCAAGGAGTAATGATGAGAGATAAACACATCCAGGAGAAATACTCAAAACTCCTCACTTAGATGCTTAAATTATTCTACAGCAGATGGCATGAATGCCTTCCTCCTTACGAGAAATGGGTCTTTGTCCTGAAATCCTTGTAATCCAAATAGACAAGAATAACAAAATGTGGGAGGGAATAAATAGATGTCTGGGGAAGGGAGGCACAGAGAAAATAAGTGACTTGCCCAAGGTTCACATAGGAGATTGGAGACAGGCCTAAAAAGCGAATCAAGATTCTCCTGAGATTTAGCCCTGTGTTTTAGCCACAAGACCACCCCTGAAAGCTAATTGATTCTGTCTCCTAGAGAGATGCCCATAACTTTTAAGATAGAACTACCCGTCAGCTAAGCACTTCACAATATAAGAATCAAACAAAACCAGTGTCTTTGGGATATAATACCTTGGCACCTACTTTGATGATTAAGTGTATTCATCTCAGAAAATTAGAAAATAAACAAGAAAAATAAAGCTTTGGGATTATATGGAATTTCACTGCTTTCCTCCAACCTCATTATTCATAGCCATCTCACAAAAAAATGAAAAGAAATTCTTTAAGTTGCTTTGAAAAAAGCACCTTGAGCATACTGTCAGTAGAGGGATGGTTCCGTCTGGCTTGCCTTGTGTTTCAACCAGACTCTCTCTTAACCTCCTTAGCTGCCAACTTAGCTGCTATGTACTTATTTCTGCATTAACTCTCCCTTAGTTTAGGTTTAAAGACCAGATGCCCAGAGGACACAGAATTACACTTGCAGGCTGGGGACCATCCTGTCACTCTGGCAGATCCCATTCTGCCAACAAGCTGGAACATACGTTATTGCTGGGTCCCAAGCTATTGCTAGAGACAATTATGCTGAAAGCCAGCAGAGTGAGAGAGCATTAGTATCTGCCATGGAGTAAGGATGGGAGCTAAGCTAGGTGTACAATGGACTATTAAGAATTCACTTAGCTATGCCATAAGGAACAGTAATTAGTAGAAAAAGGAGCTGATGTAAAGAGGTAAAACTTCTTGTGATGCAGGGGTAGACAAAGTGTGACTAAAGAGGTGAGTGAAGTTTGTGAACTGTTTAAATACTACAGCTGTGTCACACTGTCAAGAAACAGACTTGACTCAGATCAGGGGACAATTCCTTTTCTCCACATTTTCCCTCAGCAGAACACCCTTATGGATCCCCGACTTATTTCCAGGACTTACTTCCTGACCCATATTTCCAGTGCTTTTGTTTCAAAAATTGCCTATCACTCCAACTTCTGTGTTCTCTTCTCTATCATTTCTTGAATTCTCATATTCCATACTCTGCTTTCATCTTCCCCCACTATTGGATATGAAGCCCAAATCAGATTTTTAATTAGCTTGGCTCTCTTTTGCAGAGCTGTTATTTTACTTTGTGTTATTTTACTTTGTGTACCAATATCCTCCCTTTCTCTTGCCGGCAGACTGCCTGTTCCTGTAAAAGACCTAACAAGTCAGTTTAGTTCAGATTTCACCTACTTGCTTTCTTGCAAAGCTGCAAGGTTTGCAGCTGAGACCCTATATGCTCAGCTGATGATCCCTCCTCTGCTAACATTCCACTAGTTTGTGACAACCTAAGCATGAAGGAGTGCTCAGACAGGCTCAGATTAAGAAAGAGATGTCTTGTCTGTTTTACCTGATGTTAAGGGAACTGGAACAATAACCAGGGCTATACATTCCTCTGGCCTTGTCACAGGGAAGGGCTAAATTCCTTTGCATTCTGCTTCTGGAAGGGCAAAGACTGAGATACACATTTTAAGTTCACTGAAGATTTGAACCTTACCACCCTGAAATCATGGACCCATTTCTACAGATCCCCACAGATCTGAGATGCATACCTCAGCCCCAAGTCACGGAACGTTTAAGAAGTGGTTGCTTTCCAGTGCAAACAGGACAAGTCTACATCGGGCCTGCACAATTCTCAGAAGCAGTTCCCAGACCCAGTACATGGTTGCATAGAGTGCAACATAAAAACAAACCAGTGTTTAAGATGTGGTTTGCACACAGTGGAACTACAAGCATGTAAAAACAAAACACAGAGAACCAAGAGCTCCCGTGAGTCAGTTCTCACTGCATCCCCACAAGTGCCCACACTTCTGCCGCTGGTCATGACCCCTTGCCTGGGTTGTTCAAGTTTACTACCCTTAAGGGAATGCCAGCTAGTCCAGGCATATCTGTTCTAATTTTAAATTAAATGAATTGTGTTCTCAGGTCCCCAGGAGCATAGTAGCAGATACAGTATGGATAGGAAGGCTTAGGGGAGCCATAATCCCTTCTCTCCATAAGAACCATCCAGTCCTGGATGAGCTATATGCAGTCATACAACCACTTCCACTACACCGTGGATAACTACAGTGGGAACATACCTTCTCCATAAAATACACAGTTCCTGCAAACAAGCGTTCCATAAGGACCCTGGGGAACAGTACCTTTGGTTCATTTCTAACTACAATGGCAAGGGAGATCTCTCTTGATCAGTGCACAACAATACCAGGAAAGACCATTTCTCAGAACTCAAACTTCAAATGTATGGAAAATAAAAATGTTTACTTTATTTTATTTGCTGCCTTGGTTTTTATTTCTTCTGCCCTGACGGCTCCCTAAAATATTACACTACCATAACATATAATAAAAATCTTGGGTTTCTGATAAAATTGGTCATGATTTGAAAAAGTCAAGGTGTGATGTTCAAATATGTTCACTTGAGTGAAACTAGATTACAATCTATTTGAAACACAACAGCTTCTACACATAGGCCCTTTCAAAACAGCTCAATTGTTCTATGCCTGCAAAGTTTTCTGAATGTCATTTTTTTGGTTTTCATCTCTCAGAAAGATTTAATTTACAAAAGTTCTTAGTTACAATTTTTAAAAACTTGGAAGAAGAAGAAAACAAACCCAAACAAATTTAGTCATGTTCTGAAATAACTCTTCTCTTTGACCTGCAGTCCTCCCTATTTATTTTTTTCATACTGGACAGAAAATGAAAGGCTTGCATCTTGGCTCAATCAAAAATCAATTATTTGAACAGCTTCAAAAATCAAGTTATTTATTCTTTGCTCTTGCAATAATGCATGGGGTTCAGTTAAGGTACAGGACAGCAGGAGGAAGAGCAGTCTCAATAGTGCCCCTGATTCTGCCTGGAACTATGTTAGAATTTGTGTAATAGAAAAGCTATTGGAAATCCCAAAGTTTTGGGTTCTGAGTATTATCCCATTAATGTGTACAGATTATGTCGGCTGAAAAACATGTCAAGATCAGTCTAAGCTTTCTAATTTGACAGACATCTTCAATTCTATTCACACTGCTTATATTTCATTTTCATTCTTGGAAGCTGTTTGCATATAATGATGATTAAAGACTCGTCTATATGTGGATCTATATTAGTAAGTACAGAGACAGATACAATATACACCAAACACATAGCTATACATGTATTTGGATGAATGTGTCAATTCTCACTTCTGAGCTCAAAAAGAAAATGACAAATATTAATATTGCCAACAGAGTGACCTGAAAGAAACCAGAGGAGTGCTTTCGTTTGAGCCTGCCTCAAGCTTTTAGGTCCCTGACAGTTTCTGAGTTATAATAGCTCACTCCTCCCATCTAGTGTCCAGAGAATCAACTGCGCAGAAACAGCATCCAGCTTCAGCTGTTTAAGGGGAGACCATGAGTTGTGCAGAAGGAAACTGATCTATAATGCTTCCAGAAATTTCACTAAATTCAGCGAAATGACAATGACAGTTCTTGCAATGCCACCTGGCAGCCCAAGCCTGATGTACTGCACTTTTAATATGCAGTATTCCTTCCACGAGTAACACTGCTGGCTATACCTTCTTGTGTTATCTTGAAGAAAAAGATTGTTCTGGGATGTAGCCACCACTCAAGTTACCCCCCTGGTACTTACCAGGAGACAGTGAATGGGATTTCCTCTCAGATCAGTGTTTGGAGCCTGCAACAAACTCCAGTCTCTCCCTTTATTGTAGGTGATGAAAGTTTTCACTTGGTTGTCAATCTTCTTGTTAGCCAAGAACATTCCCTTTATCCCTGCTACCTAGGAAAAATTGACATGGCTGAAAAATAGATCAAGCCGTTACAGGTTCTGTGCATGTGTCTCTCTTGTCCTGCCAAACCCATCAGGGACCTGAAGTCTGCGTTAGCATGGTGGATATCAGGGCCAAGAATTGCCAAGGAACATCAAAGGAAGGCAAACTGAGGTGCTTATAGACAAGATAAAACTATCACAGGTGGAAAGTTGACAAATGGAAAAGAAAGCTTATATTTCAGAATCAGCATGGGAACATGGTAAGGTGTCGATAGCATTATCTGTAAAGCAGCAATCTCTCAGCTGTGTAGGCCTCTGAAAGACACAATATGTACAGGGCAATTATTTGTCTCTTGCACTGCCAGAGGAGGAAACAGCAGCAATTTTGGCCTTGCAAAGAAAATGCGACACACACACACAAACTTGCAGTTCAGTGCTTCTATTCTCATACAAATTAAGCCTGCTTAACACATTTCAGCTAAGGATCCTAATGTGTTTCTTAATTATCAGTGTTTCATCAGGATAACTAGGGACACAGATGTAATTTTCTTACTGTTTCATATTTTGAGGAAACCAAAGCACTAGTGACTCCAGCGAGGCCACCCAGCATACTAGTGATAGAGCTAGCAATGAGATTTATTTTTCCTGGTGTTTTACCCAACATCTTTAATCCATAGGCCTGCAGGAGGATTTTGTAAAGATGTGATGCTAACAGACTCACATTGGAACCAAGCCCAAAAGTGTCTTAGTGGGGAGAAAAAAGTCAACCTCAAACCACAACTCACACTGCAGAATGTTCCCATCTTCTCAGCATGCTGAAAATCAATAGCCCAATAGCTGCTGAAGCTTGTGAATGAATTTGTTGGGCTGTCATTCTGCGATCTGAGTGCTGCAATAAAAAGGGAAGCAAAACTGGGAGGAGGGGGAAAGAGAGAAACTTCTTTGTTTCCAGCAAGTCTGTCCAGTCATCCGCCTGGAGCTAGTACACGGAATTATTTTCATCAAGACTTTTTATTCATACAGATAATTACTTAAATGGCACCACATGGTAAATGGTTACACAGCAAATTCAGAGCTTGTTCCAGCTCAACTAAATCGTGTGTCTGGATTTGGATGCTACAGCTCCTGGTGAATACGACCTTATTGCATTTCAAGTCATATGCTGTAGGACTACCAATATACAGTGCATTGGTACAGTACACTGGTGTACTAAGTCATTCTGAATAGAATTTTCCTGCTTGAGCAATGGCATTGGATTTCATTTGAACTTATGTAAAGACTTAGTCATGATTTGTTATAATGGGCAATAGTATTTAAATTAAGACATTAACTAATTTATTGCCATTATTAGCATAAAAAGATAATATTTTCAATTTCTTAACTGGACTGGTCCCACCCAACTAAGTATTCAAGATTTCTCTGTTGTAGTCGAAAGGCACCCTAAAACGATAAGGGCACTCTGTCTTCCAGTGATACTACATGATAAGACAGGCTGGAAAAATAACATAGTTCTGCCTTTACTACCAGAGGCCAGAGCCTATAGTTCCATTTGTACTTTGTTTTGTTGTTGGCCTGAAATAGATGTATTATATAGTCCCTGTGAAATGCTGGCCATAAATGATTAAAGAGCATTTTATATATCAGGTGATAAATGTGTTCTGAAATCCTCTGAATCTTCCTTTTTATGATTCTAGTCATGGGCTGGAACTCAGATTCCTTTCTCAAGAAAGCAAAGTATAAGTTATACTGTTAGTCTTGGAGAGCTTCATCTTGAAAAAAGACCTCACGCACTATACATGTTTCTGTGCTCTCAGTTGGAGGAGATATACTTATTGCATAGACAACCATGACACATGGAGTGATCTGTTCATCCTTGCTGTTTGTACAATCACACGAAGACTCACAAGTCTTACATGCAAGTAAGTGCATAACCACCAGTGGTCAGAAAGAAAAATACTCCATCAACTTCCATGCAGGTTGTAGAGAGTCTTCACTGCCCCAAATCCATTGTGTGTGGATACAAATACTGTTGACATTTTTTAGAAAGATTCATACAAGACACTCGAGCACACAACTGAAACCACATTCTTCCCTCTCCATCAACTTTTTATGTCTAACATACACGTCCTATCCAAGAGGTATACTGCTAAAAAAAAAAATAAGTCCTAGAGTGATAAGCTTATATACCATAGCTATAGACACATCTTCTCATAGTCTGTTATCAGTTCAGGCATGGATTCCCATATGCAGGATTGTCTTGCTGCAGACCAGTCCAAACACAGAGCCAAGAAGAGCCATAGCACATCACTGGAGAGGTGCAGGAACTAGAAAGGGCACTTGGACCCAATGGCCAGTGATTCTCACTCTTCCCTTCCTCTAGAAGATCGTTTCTAGGACAGCCCTCCTGTGCCTACAGACCCACTGAATGCTGGGTCTCGTGTGCTACTCATGAAATGTCACTGCAAGGTGGTGGAGAGAAAAGCTATTCCCATACCCTGCTTTGTCCAACATGCAGGAGGAGAATAGTGTCCCTCTAGAAGTGGTCTCCTCATCCTCTACAAGGTCCAGCAGCAGAAGAGCTTACAGACTGAAATAGTAACTTTTGAGTGAAAGGCTCATGAAAACTTACAGGAGAAGAGAAGGGAGAACATGATGAGGACTATGAAAAAATTTTTATTTTGTCTTCATGCCCAGTGCAATACCCTGAGCAGCATTGAGCAGATTTTTTCACAGAATGGTTGAGGTTGGAAGGGACCACCAGAGGTCATCTAGTCCAACCTCCCTGCTCAAGGAGGGTCACCTAGAACACATTATTCAGAATTGTGTCCAGATGGTTCTTGAATATCTCCACAACCTCTCTGGGCAACCTATTCCAATGCTCAGTCACCTTCACAGGAAAGAAGTCTTTCTTCATGTTCAGATGGAACTTCCTGTGTTTTAGTTTCTGCCCATTGCCTCTCATCCTATTGCCTGGCACCACCAAGAAGAATCTGGCCATATCCTCTTTTATTGTATTTCTGCATACTCTGACAACATCCCTATATTAATCCCAGAAAGTCTGTCTGTGCTTCCACCTCTTGTATATCTCCTGCTTATGCCTGAGTTTTGACAGGAGTTCCCTGTTCGTTCATGAAGGTCTCCTGCCCGCTTTGCTCGATTTCTTGCCCATAGAGATGCACTATTCTTGAGCCTGGAGAATATTAACCTAATAATCTTGAGCCTTGAATATTAACCAGCTCTCTTAGACCCCTCTTCCCTCTAGGGCTTGTTCACATGGGATTCTTCCAAGAAAGTCCCCAAAGAGGCTAAAGTTAGCTCTTCCGTAGTCCAGGGTTGTGATCTTACTTATAGCCCTGCTTCTTCCTAACATGATACTGAACTCCATGATCTCATGGTCATTGTAGCCCAGGCTGCCCTCAACTTTCACATTACCAACCAGTCCTTCCTCATTTGTTAGTATAAGTTCTAGCAGCGCACCTCTCCTTATTGGGTTCTCCATCACCTGTCTCAGAAAGTTATCATCAATGTCTTCCAGGAACTTCCTGTATTGTTTGTTCCTTCAGCAGATGTCAGGGTGGTTGAAGTCTCCCATGAGAACCAGGGCCTGGAATTGTGAGGCTACTTCCAGCTGTCCATAAAAGGCTCTCTTCTTCAGGCTGAACAGCCTGTCTTTCTCTGGCATCTCCTCAATCTTCCTATTCTAAATATAGCACTGTCACCATAGAAGGACTAATTTTGCAATCTCTCCCTTTTGTTTTAATTTATCTATGTTTTTTTTTCTTTCATCTTCATCTCCATTTACTCCTAGAGCATTCATCATTTGCAGCAACACTACTTGGAGAATCACATTGGCTGGCTTTCTGTTCCCTTCCAGCTAGAACATCAAATTGAAAAGAAGGTTTGTGCCAGGTTCAGTGTCAGCCAATATCTTTCTACCTATGTAATCAGCAGATATGATGCTACAATTCCGATTGCATCAATTTCAATCCAGGTTACTGTGTGGTGTCAGCTTAATAAAACAAAACAAAGGTGATAATTTCCACACACACACTCCCCCCCACCAGCATGCAGGACACCTTTACATAATGCAGTAAAACTGTTTGTCAAGCTTACAGTAATAAAAGGCAACAGTTTTTCCATTGGCTGCCAGTGCTGCAGAGATTAATAGTAAACATCTCCAAATGACTGAAATGCCAGTGCCCATCCTCCTACAGTTCATCTGCATTTATGTGTAACACTTGGGCTCTCTGTTTGAACAATTCAAGGTGTTTCCAAGTAAAGGACAGATGAAGGCAAACTACACAGCAGAACTAATATTCAGATGGTGGTGGGGAAATGTTTTATTTTGAAAGGAACCCAGATCTAGTTCATGGCCCTTATTCTACATGGTCAGAAAAGTCTGTGGGGGAGACCTCAAAAAAGAAGTTGACACTCAAACCAGCAGCTGAGGACTGAGTTTCTATTTAGCTCAGTGCCATCTCCAGAAATAAAACAGACAGCAGAACAAGTACAAGGACACATTGAAAATCTTATTCTTAGGATCAGCTGTCATAGAAGACAATGTACATTGTCCTTTTTACAGGTGAGCTTAGGCAAATGTCCTTGCTCAGAAAAAGGCTCAGGGGTAAATGGACATAAAAATGACATAGGAGAGTTTCCATGGTCATAGGATAGCCCAAGAGGGTGTATCTAAAAATCACTTCGGTTCCCAACATAGTCCAAGCTGAAGAAGGTGACAGAGTCAACTGAAAACTGCTGTGTCTTCTTACCTCTAAACCAAGAGATTAGCCTTTCAGAAGTGCAACAAAAATTGGAGAATGATGCTATTCATAGTGTTGGAAGTGTTCAGAGTCATAGGCTGGACCAATGTGGGTCAGCAGGATTTTGGCTGAGAAACTTAAAGAGCTCCTCATAGACACTGATTGCAGTATTCCACTACATCTTCTGATGCAATTCACATTCCATTGCATGAGAGAGCCATGGGCTCTTCCTAACCTGAGGATCTAATGGAGAGTACAGCAGTGAATCTGTTCATAATGTTAGGCTGGGCCTAAATTGAACACCTGTGTAAAACCTGGCCTTGAAACTCAGTTGATTGCACTGAGGCCCTAAAGTAAAAGGAAAGTAAAACTATGTAGATAGTCACTTTTTGTCTCTGTTGTTCACATGCATGTTACAAGACTGATGTGCAACAAGGAAATGGTACTGGCATCGCATGAGATCCTGAAATATGAATGAGATGTTTGGAGTCATGACATACCTCATAGAGGTCAATCATCACATTCCCCTCCAGCCCTTGACTACTCTTGACATTTTCCAAGGCCAGGGTGAAGTACACCCCTCGGGTGTCAGAGATATACAGATTGTATGTGTCATTCTGGTTCCACTCTTGAACAGCTGCAAACACCTGATTCTCATCTGTGCTGATAACATGCATGTCCTGGGGAAAGAAAAAGAGAGGAAGGTTACTAGAAGGAGCTCTGTCCTGTCATTTTCAAGGGCACCAGAGTAATTGTGGAGAAGCAAGGGATATATTTAGGCTAGTTTAATCAGATACTGTAGACAACACTCCTGTAAGCAGATAATTCCATCCAGGAATATTTTACACCAGCTGTCTTCTGCCAGTTTTCAAAGCGGTGATTAACTGATGAGGTGTTAACTGAACATTTACATTGGCAATACAGTGTTACAGAGCAGCACTCCCCCCACCAACACTTTCATTGTAATGAATACTTTGTTGGGAGGTGGTGATGATGTTTATTTGTTGGTCGTTTGGGGATGTTTTGGGCACCAGAGTGATTCCACCTGTGTCTGTGGAATCACAGATGTTAAAATACATTTTTCTTTGTTTGGGGTTTTGTTGGGTGTTTTTTTTTTTTGTTTTGTTTTGTTTTTAAGAAGAAAAGACAGCATCTGAAACATCTGCTTCTTGCCTAGCATTCAGAAACCAAGTATGCCTGGGAACTGATACACGAAGGATCTAATGGGTCAATCTCTGCATCCAGTGCTGCTGTTATTAATTCTAATAACAGTGTTGACTAGAAGCCAAGACCCTGGACCACTGTGCTAAACACACTACACACCCACAAACACCTCCAGCCCCCAAGAAATATAACAGAAAGACAACCTGAATCCTGACTAAATGTAAAGAGCAGAATTTTAGTTAGATCACTAGTGTGAGTAAGGTTTTCTTTTACTTCAGTCTGTGTGTTCGAGCGGGCAGGAAGCAATGAAAAGATTGTGTAATTAAGGAAAACCCAGAAACTATTAAACCCGATTCCCTCTTTCAATGTCTGGAGAAATTACTACTCAGTGGAAAAAGCCATCAAGAGAGAGATTTTTATAATGAAATTCCTAGGTTCTACCTGCCTAGCATAGTTCTTTGGTGACACAAAAGTCTGCGGAGGTAGGAAAATAAATGCAGGTTTTTTTGCACAAGGTGATTCCCAGAAGATTCAGCTATTCTGTCTGGTTTGGGCAGACATCCCAGAGTTATTCTGCTTCCATGAACCTCAGCCAGAGCTTTCTATATGCAAAACTGGGAACTTTATCAGAAAATATGCTCTTTGGAAACTGATACTACCTCTTCCTTCTGTTAATAATAGTCCTGACAATTCACTTTCTGGTGGTTTTGTACGAGGAATTAATACCTACAGATGGACCCTTGCAATGTAAAGATGAAAAATAACATAATGAAGAAATCTGATCTATAAATTTGAAGTGAAGTTAAGATTCAGAACAGTTGTTTGTTCATCCAGATCCAGATCTGAGAATGGAGTGGATGAATATTCACTTGATTTACTCTCTTCTTTGTGCTGGAGAAAAATACATCCCAGAAGATGGGCTGGTTTTGTGAAGGAACAGATTGGTTTAAATGCTCAGGCAACATGAAAGGCAATATAAGTCCTACTGCTTTCTACTAATTGTAATTGTAAATAGACATCCTCTCTTAGCTCCAGATGTGCTAGTAGAAATTAGTGACACAGATGTTTGTCAGAGGCTCCTTATTTCAGACTGCCACCTTAGTCAACCTGATGGTATATCTACATGAGTAGGTATTCCCAGTGTCCTTCAGGCAAAATTGGTTAGCACAGCACTAATCTCAAGTTTAAACTTTGGCATATGCCCATAAACACATGGGCAGACCTCTCTCTATTTCAACATAGACAGAGATTATACATAAAATCTCTTTCGTCTCGTGAATGTAGTTTCATTAACTTACCATTTCAATCAATAGTTTTGTAATAACTAGGGGAGAGAGGTAAAAGATATTTTAATCACACCAGAGAAAACTAAAGGCAATTACATGAATGCTTAAAAAGCAAATAAGTTGATTCACTAGGTGCTTCCTGAGTTTCATCACACCATGCTGTAAAATTCAAGTCTAAAGAAGATCCCAGTAAGACTGAAGGAATTTAAGGCTGGAGAAGCAGAGATTGAGACAGAATTAGCATATACGTAGTGCAGAAAGTCAAAAAAGATAGCATTCCAAATGTTTGCCCTTGGGGATCTATTAACTTTTCCCCTTAATATGGCCTTGTTCAGTAGATGCAGTAGACGTGCAAAGCTTTGATAGGAAGGGATCAATATATGGGAACCAACTAGGTCTTTGACCAACATCAGGAATTTTTTTGTTTCCACACTGGGAAAATGAAAATTAATCTGCAATATCACATTAATTTCTATTTAATTTTTTTCAGGGTGATTTTTTTTTTTTAGGGAGGAGGAATAATAATTAAAAAATCCCTTCATCTTGATATGGAGCAAGAGCTTCACTGCATCTTCCACTACTACAAGAGATGTACATTTCACTTCCTTACAGAAAGAGAAGAGGACACAAATGTGAAGTAAGACACCTTTCTCAGTCATCATCTTCAGGGGCTACCTTTGCATCTGCCTTCTGAGAGACTGAGTTTTCCTCTCTCTGTTCCAACACATAGTGCAAATACATTAATATGCAGCTCTACTACCTGTCCCTCTTGTCTTTCCAAAGACAAAAGAGCACGAATCTGTGCATGGGTTTGATCAGCTGCCTACTCAAATGACTGAAGGCCAAGGCTTTCTGAGTTAAAAAACATGCTTTAATTGCCCTTTTTGAAATTGGTCAAGGAACTTTTCTTCCTGAGAAGTTAAATAGCAGGAAGGTGTAATGCCTGTTTTATCCTGTTAGTTACTGGGACTGTCAGCTCTTTTTAAGATCTGTATTTAAGGATTTTTTTGTGGTTACTGCTTCTTCCACCAGGATGTGCATCCTGAGATTGAAAGAAGGTGATGAATTTAAAACAGAGGTACCACACACTCCCATTCCATCAGTATTCAGCCCAGCACCAGCTAAGGACAGGTCTTTTTAAAAGAGAAATTGGTTGGCTTGCTTCAGTATTTACAGATGTTTGCACAGTACATTGGTCTAAAATGGAGCGAATATACCCTGTGTGTATATTCAAGGTGATTATCCTGAGTGACATACCAGTGTCTGTGACAGAGCCCACACTGTGCTGCTGTGATACAGAATAGGTAGTACGAACCCACAGATCAATATCACTGCAGAAATTAACAGGTCTCAAGAATGACCATTTACACAGTATAACCAGCATAGACACATGTAGGCATCTTCTTGTATAGGAGAGAGTTTCAAGTTCATTTAGACTTTTAATCAAACTGGCTACCAGGCTATCAATGCCAACAAGATTATTTTAGTTTTGATTTTCTGTAGGCTATTCCTGCCTGAGCAGCAGTATCACCTGCCAAAGCTGCCTGCCTTCACACCCTTTCTTCACACCGCTTAGGAAGAGCAACATAGAGAGACAAAAAGTTTGATATTTCCATCTTCAATTCCAGAAGTCACTTAGTGCTGTTTACCATATTTGGCCCCTTTTTCTTAGCTGAAGGAGATAAAAGAGAATTTAAGCAGAAGAGAAACTCTATGTTTGAGTTCCTCGAATAGTATAATGCTTTGTGCATTTTTAATAAAAGCAGCTATCTTGCTTTGATAGCAGCCTTCTCGACAGCCACAGCTCCACTGTAGCTCCTTCCAAGCCAAATGTAGCTTTTCAGTCTTTGAAGATATTCCGAGATTGTGACAAAGCGTCTTATCTCCTTATATATCTGCCTTTTTCTTTGGGTCAAATAACATGATTGTACTGCTCCAGTTCCTATTCTCTGGGAACACATTGTAATTTAATTGTAGTGCATTTTCCCTGGCTCTTCAGAGATCTCTTTGAGAAGGTGAGCATTTGGAAAAGTATGGGCTAAAGGAGATAACCAGTTCAAAGCAAGCAGCCTCTCTACAGGTGGTTTGAATCAGCTGTAAATGACAATTTTGACGTGGGTGTTAGAATAATTATGTTAAAAATGCAACTCCTTTGCTGAGGGCTACTTCAAATAACAATTCTTTAAATTTTACCTGAGTAATTTCTTCCTGCTTGGGCAGGAAGTTTCAAACCAACCTATCTTTAAATGTGAGTGAAGATTCTGGGGCAGACCACAGCCCTCCTGTGTCAGAACCAAGAAGACCCATCTCTTTTAGTAGGGTCTTCAATGTCCTGTAAGCTGGGTTTTCAGGTGATGTAAACAGAAACAAACATACAACAGCAGAGTAAGAAAGGCAGAGCATTGAAGGCCTAGATTTCAGTTGCAGTGTGGTCATATGCAGGTCACCCGGTCAATCTACTATAAACAGATCTGCTGGTTTGAGGAATCAAAGACAGCCTGTTGTGATATTAGCCAAATTATCCCTTTGAATATTTCCACCTACAAAATCTGATACACATTCAACTACTAGGAACAGGCTGACCTTACACTTTCTCCTCTTTCTTTTGTCATTGTTTGCCTGACTTTTGGGAATTCATTTGTCTCCAGATGTTAGGCCTCAAACAGAATCTAAAAGATCTTTTGCTACCTTTGAGCTTGAATTTCATTGAAGCCAGATTATGTCAAGAATGAAAAGGCCTAAAAAAAACATTAAAATCCTCTGTCTTTGTTAGCAGTTAGGAACTGTTAGAAGCCCAGCTGCAAAATGGTGATTTCTTCAAAACGGAGCTAACATTTTAGATAGGTCTTTAAAAAAATTCAGACAGAATCTAAAAGATCTTTTGCTACCTTTGAGCTTGAATTTCATTGAAGCCAGATTATGTCAAGAATGAAAAGGCCTAAAAAAAACATTAAAATCCTCTGTCTTTGTTAGCAGTTAGGAACTGTTAGAAGCCCAGCTGCAAAATGGTGATTTCTTCAAAACGGAGCTAACATTTTAGATAGGTCTTTAAAAAAATCCATCTTTAGAAGGCAGCAATAGCTTTTCGAGCTCCAATGCTAATTCACCGTTGTTCTTAATTAGGGAAGATATGGAGCAGACACACAAAGACGTCTCTTTGCTTGGTTCCCATTAAAATCTGCTAATGAGGCAGAGCACAAAAAGCAACCCACACAGGCTAGGGACAGGAGAAGGGAATTTCAAGACCAAAAAAAAGGGGGGTGGGAAAGAGTGTCCTTTTCAAAACTTAATTAACTAACTATAAAGAAATGGTTATTGACATGGGCTGTGGTATCCCTCTACATTTCATGCTGATCTCCTTGACTAACCATAAAGCTGACTCTGTTTCCAGTCCTTTGTTGCTTGCAAATGTTCTGCTGAAGAAGAATGTTTTCACTCATTACATGTCATCTTGTAGTTACTTGTGTTGGGTTCAAGAATTTCTGTACAATCTGAACTGTAGGTTCCTATGGGCATTCCAGCAACAGCAACTTACCTTGGGCAAGGAGTACTTTGGCAGCTTCATCTGTGTAAATGCATTCCTCCTATAAGAAACGTAATAATGTGGTCTCCCTCCTGATGTCAACTATGAGAGAAGCAGGCAAGTTATCATCATGATTTTATAAAATATTTTTTTATTATCAGGTAAAATATCAAGCTAAAGCTGTCAAGGGAAATACCACAGTGTTGGTAGCAATGGCTTAAAACTGCAGCACTATTACAGTGGATGAATAAACATTGATCTGACTGACAGTGGCTGAAAAAGAAAGTAAGAGAAAACCTATTATCTGCAAAGAGAGACAAAGGACAGACTTACAGGTGCAAGACTGGGGAAAGTGAAGTCCTGGTTTCACTTGGATTATTACGTCACCTGCAGATGCCATAGCTCTCTTCTGCTTTACCACAAAACAGACCTCTGCTATCTACAGAGCTGCTGTATAGGCTATTGATTAGATTAGCAGATTGGCAGACATGAAGATTGATTTCTATTTCTGCCTCCAGCTTTGGTTCCTGTGTGGCCCCATGTAAGCCATCAGATGTATCTGCTACAAGATCAGCTAAGCATTCACAGCTCAGTTGATTTAGTATTTCTGTGAATCTGGCCATTTATTTAAGTCTTTAAATACTGATGACAAGACCTTGAAAATGCTGGGTTAGAGCAATATGAGGTTTCATTTCCTATCACATATTAAAGGGGCAGGAAATCAAAAGAAAAAAAGCCATCAATGTTATCTGGCTTCCAGTGCTGCTGAGGTATAATCAATGTTTGTAAAGTACTTTGAAATCTTTGGATGAAAGATACTGAAGAACAAATATTCCAAGGGATTCTCTATGTAGATATTTGCTTTAATTGCCTGATATCAGGGCTTATCAAGACTTTTCGTTAGTAGTAAGTGTTTTAAAATGCACTGCAGTAGTTTAAAATGCAAGACAGACATAGGCCAGGTTCATACCAGATGAAGTAAAATAAGAACTATTTCTTATTTTAATCTCTTCGACATTTTTTTTTTTAAGAGAATTGGTAAAAGTTAAGGGGAGGAAGTCCAGAAGCATTGTTTATGAGATAGTGTGAGTTTATAAATAAAATACGGTGTAGTGGCAGAAATAAACCCACATACCCTTATTCTCATGCTTTTCAGCCTGCTAATTCTCATTCCAAATAACAATGCAGCCTTAGCTGCAGAAAAGCTAGATAAAGATCAAGGAAGGTAGGGAAGGCTTGGGGAGGATGCTCAGGCTGTTCATCTGCTTTTCCAAGCTTTTACAGTCTGGTAGGTTTAAGGCTATTCATCCTCTGAAGAACAGTGCCTGGGATAAGGCAGAGCCCAGCATCAGCCACAGCATGTTATTTAGCTGTTCCTTGCCAGCCAGATACATCCAGATAAATATGTAACCACCTGAAGAATCCTATTTTAAATTACCAGCCAACAGTGAATTCACTGTCTACTTTGAACAAAGCAGAGGTTGTTTCCAGGGATTACAGTATTCTTATTTCATACCTGTGTCAGTTATTAATGATTGGCAAGTACTATCTCTTTGACCTGTTATATTTAAGAATCTTAAGACGTCTAAGGATTAAAATGGGAGCTTTCAAAATCCAAATATTACATGATACCCTCTCAAACTGCATTACGAACATGAATATATAAAGTTGTGCAAAGTCTCATTGGGCATTAAGGAGAACATCATAAAAGGCTGCCTTTCCTCATATGCTCCTTCATCCTTGCACCATGCAGCTAGCACAGAGGTGGAACAAAGCAAAAAACTGACAGCACTGGGAAAACTATACAGCAGTTTATATAGACTGAAAGAAAAATGCATCAAAATACAAGAGCTATCCAGAAAGGCAGACAATCTCCCCAGCATTAACTTCCGATGAGGCAAAGGGGTTGATTCTTTACAGTATGTAACATCAGGTCAGAACAGAGAAGACTAGCAATCTTGAAAAGCGTAAAATCAAGTGATGAAGTAATGAATCAATTCACATATGAGGAGAAATTATCCAGCTCAAGACACAAACACACAGTGATTCTGAAACAAGAGAGCATGGCTGAACAGTGATGCATGCCCCTGTTTTCCTTACCACAGAAACATTTCATTTATACTTCAGACACACTAGGCACAAAACCTATTCTGAAATACATGTTCCAGATTTATTAGTGAATGATTTAGACTGGTGTTTATGACTGAGTTCATTAACTGAAGGTAATTAGCAATCAACTCACCCAATTTAAAATAGCAGTCCTCTCTCTTCCCTCCACTCCCAAGCATAGCAGAATACAAACTGTCTGGAAAACCTGTTTAGTCCTAATGATTTCCAGTTCACCTCCATGTTCCCTGCAATTCTGTTGTTATTTTTGTCCTCTTCAACTGCTATTAGATGGACACTGGCGGCAGCCTAATGAAACCCACAGTAGTTATCTATTCACCAGGTCCCACCTGGAACACAGCTTGGCTGAGTACATCTCATCTTCAGCCTTTTCACTGTAATCACAATTGAGGCATAACAATAAAGCCTGATTACTCCTCTTCTTTGGTTCTTCCTCTGACTCCCTCCCTCCTTTTCTCTTTCTCTCTCATGCTCAAAAACGTTCTGGTCTATTCCTTTTAACAACAGATGACTGACACATCACTTCAAGCTAGGGGGTTAGAGCAGAAACCCTAGAGTGCTTACAGGATTGCAGGGGGTGGCACAGTACATATGGTGGATGCTCCAGGCAGGACCACTATATCCCTACAGTGACAAGATACTAGAAATAATAGGAAGACTATTAGCATTGTAATGAACTTCTACAATTAACTCAGGGCCTTTCTTATTTGGATCCAGTGTTGTCTGAGTAGTTGGGAGTTAACACACATGCACACACACGCAAAGGAATGGAAGAGAAAATAATATAAAATAATAGAATATAAAATATAATAAATGAGAAGAGGGTGTTCTGCACCTGAACAAAGACATAATCATCCTGGACGATCAGGGAGTTATGGTCAATATAGCCTGGAAAGGGCTTGCCGTGAGTGGCTTCACTGCAGTTCTGCATCTTGCAGGTGATGTACTGGGCATCTGAAAGGAAAAGAGTAAGACACGTGAGATCCTGAGCACAGATTCTTCCTACTGTCACAAACCTTTTAGCTGAGGCAGCCAAAGTCCTTTGATTCCCAAAGTAACTGTGGATCTAAAGATTTGTGCCTATTCTGCAGAACAGATGCTCTCTGTACTGAGCCTCTACAGTTTCTCTGTCATCCCCATGGTGTGGGATTTTCTGTAGAGCATGATGGCTTCTCCATGGTCACATGTTGAGTTTTTTCAGAACATGGCCAAGGTCCAGAGCACGCACAGGTATGCAGAAACCTGCCCCATAGTGTCACCACTGAGAACCCCTTCCATGGCACACTTCTGTATTTCCTACAGCACTGACACTCTGCAGAGCTCACCTTGGAAAGTAATTCAGGCCACCTCCTATTCGGTTTTACATACTTCCCCGCTGACAGTGTGGGTAGATGCACTCTGGTAACCTGGGCAATCATTCTACACTCTCTTGAAACTAGAAGCCTTAGCAGTTTCAATCAATCATATGTTTCAAAGTAAATGGCCTAAATGCAGTCCTAAAGCCATCTCATCCGCTGTCACTGTATGAGATGCCCTCATCTCTTATTCTGAAGTGCTGCAGGGTGCTCATGTCATAATCCATCACCTGAAGAAAAAACAATTCTAATTTCTTCATGGTGTTAGTTTATCCTAGAATATAGATCCTGATTCTCAGTATTCAATCTCGGTTCTTTCAGATCAATTCAGAAGCTGCACTTTGCTTAATAACAAAGCTGATTTACAGGAAGAAGGTTTTTGGCATTTTAGCATTAGCACTTATATGACAGAAACACTACATGGCATTTAATGTTAGAACTACTTCTGATTATTTTTTTTGGAGAAGCACAGCCCTTTTTTTTAATATCTTCTGATATTCTTTTTTTAATAATCTTATTCTTTTTTTTAATAATCTTCTGATCAGAGAGGCAGCATTTTACACTGAAATAGAAATGGCTGGATTTTTACCATCTCATATTTAACCTTGGTTTTAATTAAAATCTATCATTTGACATTTCTTTCCTTCCTTCTAGGGGCTGTTGACTTCTGCTTGAAAGAGACATGCAGGGTAATGAACCTTCAGGAAAGTTTGGTGAGGGATGATTTTCCCCCAGCATTTGCAGAGTTCTTGGAATATATAACGTGCTAGATATTATTACTCACTGCAGTTTGTAACATTTTATGCTTTTGCACCTTACTGCAAAATATTAATTAATACACCCTGGACAGCATGATCGAAATGCATTTTCCTTCAGAGGGACATGATTTTTTCCACATTAGCCACGAGAGGGCAGGGAACGACATAACTCCCAGCCTGCTCATTCCAGTGCACTCAGGAAAGTTCCCTTTCAGAGCTGTTCAGCCCTCTGTCCCTCTTCTCCCAGGAAGGAGGGTGACGAAGGGGTCAGAAACTCTTCCACCACCCACCAGTACAGTGTGGTGCAGCATGTCCCCTCTTTGTCACACGATGGAGATTAGGCATGCATCTCTTCACCTGCAACAAAATTCCCACTCCTCTTTAGTTCAGTCCACTGTATCATGAAGGAGAGCTCCCCACACCTACCCCCACATTCATAGAATTGAAGAGTGGTGTGGACTGGAAGGGACATTCAAAGGCCATCTAGTTCCAACCCTCCTGCAATGAACAGGTACATCTTTAACTATACCAAGTTTCTTAGAGCCCCATCCAGCCTGACTTGAACACTTCCAGGGATGGGGCATCTACCACCTCTCTGGGCATCCTGTTCCAGTGTTACACCACCTTCACTGGGGCTCCAGATCTGAACACAGTATTGCAGATAGGATCTCTCGTTCTCTCTGAGTGAAAAGCCTGGCAATCCTGAGCTTAAACAAAGCAGAATCACAGTGAAAATATCTGGCCTCACTATCCCCTGAATTTTTGGCAAGACTGCGTGGCTTTCCACACATGGGATCAAATCAGCCCAGCATAGAGCTATATAGCATCAGATCTCCATTTCCCACCCTGTTTCCTTTTTTGCCCTCAACACCATTCTTTCTTTTTACTTCCACAGGCACACCAGCTCTCTGGGAGACATAGACTGCAGTGCCATTGGGTTGTCTATCCTGAGAGCACCGGGAGGTAACATGATGGGTGCTGCTGCAACCAGCCAGCAAAGAAGATTAAGGGATCTCCTCTACAAGAGATTTTAAAGAGCAGGCCAGGTTGACATCCATTAGAGGTGACTTAAGGTTTTTTGATCCTGTTTTAATGGAGGAATGGGGACTATGTCTATTTCTGCTGTGATCGCAGGAGTCTGTGCAGCAGTGATTGCACCACTGATGAAGATTTACTAAGGCAATTCTTGTGACTTTTTACACTGCAATTCTCCAAAGCTTCAATTCTAAAATGCCAGTAATAACTACTAAAGGGCAGAGCACTCAAATTGCTTAAGCTAACCTCCCAAACAACCAAACCCTGAGATGGGCACACCAAGAAAAGCTCTCTCTGCTATGGGAGACAGAAAGAAGGAGAAACAGCCTTTTTGTAGCGCCTGGATTCGTCCTTTTTCCTAAGGGAAGTTTTGTTGCGTTCAAATTAACGCAAGGATTTTTTTTTGGGGGGTGCATTTGATTCTTGTGGATATTTTATGTGATTCCATTGGCAGAGCTTTGTAATCTAGCATTAATTAATGTCAATTAATGTATTCAGTTGCTAGGCTCTGGAATTAATTTCATTAGTTTTCCCACACAGATGTTTTCCCTCAATAGGTAATTAGTACATTATGCTTTTCATTTCCAGAACCCTCACCTCCAACAACAGCTGCTGTTTTTAATATACAACAAAAAAGTCACGCTGTGCCTGGAGAGAAGAACGTAGCAACTCCCAGCTCTTACACCCCCAGACACTTTGATTTTGACAGGTTTAGACACCTAGAGTAGAGTTCTTCTTGGGGAATGACAACTTTTTCTGAAGTGTAAGCAAGAAGTCACAAGAACACAAGAATGAAGAAGACATCTTGTAAGGGAAACCTCTGACAAAGTTAGTCTTTCAGTGGTGAAAGAGAATTGAAAATACTAACACATAGCAAAAGTTGAGACCCAGAGGGACACTGTGCCATGAAATATTTTAGCCTTTTCTGTTTAGCTCAAGCTCCATGTTAATATGTTCCCAAGGGAAATGCATCCCTCTATCACTGAGACAGTTCTTGGCTCAAAAGGTGGAGATGGATGGTTGCTGGTTGTTACTGGATGTTGGTGAGCCTCTGCAAATGTACACAGGAGAGTTTCAAACCCCTTCCTAAAGCAGAGCAGGGCTTTATTCAGGATACGTGTTGCCGAGTGTTATTTTGGGCAGCATATCAAACCTAATACTAACTGCTTTCTAGTCTATGCTTGCATGTAGATCTTTTGAAATCCTGATTTGATCACAAGAGTCAGAGAAAGTATTCACTGTACTCACTGAAAATGTATAAATTTTATTTTTCTTGTCTTTAGTGTATTGAGGAATGTATCCTCTTCACAAACAAATCCACTAAGAACAAATCAGGAGTTTATGCAAAAAGCATCTGCATAATATATGACTTGTCTTCCAGATTTTCTATGGAGTATCCCAGTTCATAATTGAGTAGATTAAATATTAGGGATAGTTTCAGCTTTTGAAGGATGACTGGCATCCTGAACCATACAAACACAGTAGTAACATATCTCACTGAAAGACCCAGGCCTGTAACCCCTCTCCAATAGTGACTAATAATAGAAGCCTGGAAAAGGTCGTAAGAATTTGTCCAGTTGACTTGGTAGTCCAGGTACACCTTCAGCATCCACAACCTTCCTTGGCAATGAATTACACAATTTAACTAAATATTCTCCCGTACTTTAATCTTTCTACTCCTTTTTCAAGAAACACACAAAATGACTGTTCTTAATCCATTTTCCATCTGGTCTGAATGTCGATTTGTGAAACGTTTATGGTATGGAAATATATTCAGGACTCTTCAGAACTGAGCAACTGCAAAGCAATTAACTAGTAATGAAGATCAGTGAAATGAAGCCTTCCCATTCACTAACTACTCACAAATCTGTTTTTATCCTGCTGATACTCTTTCTTCATTGCATGTCATAGTCAGGAGTCTTTCTTTACATGGGGAAGTATATCCTCTACCATTCGTGGCATAAGACTATAATTAGAGAAACTAACAGATGTCATTCTCCAGGACAAATGCTAATCATGATCAAGAAAAAATACTAATCAGAACTAGGAAAAAAAAATTACACTGCACAGGTTTAGGGCACTATGGGAATTAATTCACCACTCTAGCTATATTAACAAAAGATTGCCAGGCTGGGCTGCCTACTTGGGGTTTTCGACAGCAGTGATTATTTTATTCTTCCTAGCAACCTTCTGTGAAAACAGTCTTAGCACAACTTTGTGATTCAGACACTACTGGCCAGACGTTCAGTTCCTCTTGATCAGCAAGCAGAGCATGCCTGCTGACCCCAGGTGAGGCTTTGGTCTTACCTGCTATCGAAGCAGCACTTAAATTACCTTTTCTTAAGAAAAGTTGCTGTGTAAATCAGGGCAACAGAAGAAAAGCAAAGGAATCAAAAGTGCTTTTCAAATATCAGGAGTTCTCTAATTTTTGCCAGCACATTAGAAAACCTTCTAGCTTCTTTCACCTACTCTTATAAAAAAAAATAAATAAAAATTCGTAAATTAAAAACTTCACTTAAAATCAATTGGCATCTATCTACATAAGTGAATGCATATATCATAAATGTAACAGTTGGCTTTCTTGACATAGAATCATAGAATGCATCTATAGAAACTGTCACTTAGACATCCTCTGAGTTAGCTTTGCCATTCTCTGGAGGGCCAATGGGTACCCAGTTAGTCTCCAAATGCTTTGTAGGAATTCATCTTTCTAATTCTCACCAGCAGCCTGGATTCCTGTAGAGGCATCACCTGAATAAAAGTTACCTCCCATTTCAATTAGCTTAAATACTGGGATAACCTTCCCTAGCTCAAATGAGATAAACCCATGTAATTAAGGATCTTTCAGGACTTGTGTATTCTTTAAAAACCTAAAACCCACATGCCATTAATTAGCGGACAGTGAAGAAGGCACTTCAAGCTGCATTTGAGCAAACCTAGATTCAACTTCCACTAGTCATTGTGCTTGCTGTCTACGGTGGTGAACATAACAAAGAGAAGCTTATCGTGTGGTTAAGAACAGTAGGGGATTAATTATGTTTCTGTGTTGTTGACCTAAAAACAGGCAAAAAAAAATC